GCCACACTCACGGCCGTCTTGCCGGTGAACGCCAACACATCCATCGACCTCCAATGTACTCTGGTGCAAGTGGACTTTCAAGCCATATGTTCCTCGGGCTCGATCGAGATTGGTCAGTTTCAACGACTCCAACTACTCATCGGAATCATCCTCGTCTGCAACTTGGTGTGCTTTTACGCGGTGAAACTCAACCTCAAAACAAAACCCACGTGCCATGTGACATCACTCTTCCTCTCCTCGGGCGCCAAGTACCTGTATGCGCACAGCGACCGCGTCTACAACGGCGTGTACTACCTCGACCGTGCGTCGGCGGCATTAAATGGAATTCTGAGCCTCCGCATCGGGCGCACCATGTACAGCCTGGACATGAAGAACTGGCGCACGTTTGGTCTCGACATCCCGCTTGTGTCAGAAGTGCCGCGGACGCATTCCATGGCGACTGCCTTTGATGCCGCGTACCCTCTCTTGGATTGACTGTGTATAACTTCATTTTAAACAAGAATCCACTCGGTCTCGAGCTTATCGTACTGCAGCGCCATGAGTCGCTCGAGGTCCAAGTGCCGCTGCGTTGTGCGCAGGATTGCACGTCGCCACAGGTCGTTCTCGTCCTCGGTCGCTCGGATATGAAAGTGCGCGAGCTTGGGGCGCTTGTGCAGCACGTGCTGGAGCGCGTGGAGGAGCTTGAGCGACTCGTGGAGCGTGGCTTTGAGTGACTCGTTTTCGTGCCGCGCCTTCTGGGCATCCTGGGCTTGCGCCAGGGCCTTGGCCTTCCACGATGTCTCTTCCCACGGCTGCGCGCTCTGGAGCGCACTGTACTGCGCAACGAGGTCCTCGTGTTTGGCGCGCAAGTAGGTCAGCTCCTCCTTGGGTGACGCGCGGCGCTTCCGTGACGTTGATGCGGTCGACGTCGCGAGGCCAAAGTCGACCGTCGTCGCGAGAAAGTCCGAGAGGCTCTCGATCGACGTGTCGTCGTTGGTGGTGGTGTTGCTAGGCTGCATTGCCACTGCGAAATGCTGCGGATGATGACGGAAGGCGCGGGTGCGATCATCACGTACGAGTAGCAGTGATTACTGACCGTGTGGTACGAAGAGCAATGTACACCCAGCACCTCGTCTCTTGCCCATCTCGGTGGTTTTATCGCACTAACACACAGACACTGCACTGAACTCGTCGTGGGATATACACATGACCAACTCGGCGAGACAGTTGAGGTTCGTATCATGTGCATGGTGTCTTGCTTGACCTTGTGGTTTTTGGCGACTCGAGACAGTCGTTGCGGACGACCCGAACCTGCATACACGGACGGTCCTTTCCACGCAGACCCAAGACTACGCGAAAGGTACATGAAGCATATTGAAGTTCAAATGGCGTGCTATTGGGAGTACATGTAGTGACCGTACTCGTGGGTTTCCAGCAGATTCACCTGCCCACGTGATCGACCTTGCGTGACGACGCGTCGATACTGGAGAAGCTACTGACTTCCACCGACTGCACCCTCAGCTTCCAGACATTATGTACCTTGTCTTGCCTGGGCACTTGCCGTGACGCCAACGATCGTTGCCGAAGCTCGCGCCGCCGAATCAACTTCCGTGGAAGCTCCTTCCATGCCGAAATGCAATTTCGTTACCCAGATCTTAAATCTGACCAATCAGATGTCGCCCTGTCGTAGCAGGATTTGCCAGCCACAACACAACTTGCATCAACTGCAGCAGCTCAACGACGACCATGGCGAGCACGACAACGACCGAAGCCAAGGCGGCGATTCTCAACTGGGCCGACCAAAGGACGGGCAGTTCAAGCGCCAAGTCTCTTCGTTCCGCGACTTTATCGGCTCGGAACGCTTCCCGGCCGAGAAGGGCCGGTACCATCTCTACATCTCGTGGGCCTGTCCGTGGGCGCATCGCACAGCCATCGTGCGCAAGCTCAAGGGCCTCGAGTCGGTCATCGGGCTCTCGGTCGTAAGCTACCTCATGGGCAAGGACGGCTGGCACTTTCCGACTCCCGACGAAGAGGCCGGCACGATCCCCGATACGGTCAACGGTGCCAAGCTCGTGCGCGAAATCTACTTCAAGGCCGAGCCCAACTACAACGCACGCTTCACGGTGCCGATCCTTTGGGACACCAAGCACGAAACGATCGTCAACAACGAGTCGAGCGAGATCATTCGCATGCTCAGCTCCGAGTTCAACGCGTTCTCGTCGCGGCCGTCGCTAGATCTGTACCCTCTTGCGCTGCGCCCCGAGATTGACGAGCTCAACGCGTGGGTCTACGATGGCATCAACAACGGCGTGTACAAGTCGGGCTTTGCATCGACGCAGGAGGCGTACGAGTCGAACGTCTACGCACTCTTTGCCGCCCTTGACCGCGCCGAGGCACACTTGGAGAAGAAGGCGTGGCTTGTCGGCAATACCCTCACCGAGGTACGTTTGTGGTTGTCACAATTAATACGTCATGGCTCATGCAAGCAACTTTATGCAGGCGGACATTCGACTCTTTACGACCATTCTGCGCTTTGACCCGGTGTACCACGGCCACTTCAAGTGCAATCTCAAGACGATTTCGCACGACTACCCCAACGTACGTACATCTACGTTGGAAGATCTGCTGCATTCTTATCGGCGATCGTGGATGTAGCTGCTCCAGCACGCGCGGCGCGTCTTCCAGCTCGAGGGCATCGCCGAGACTGTCAACATGACGCACATCAAGCGCCACTATTACATGAGCCACCTCCAAATCAACCCGTTCGCGGTCGTGTCGGCGTGGAACGGACCGGACCTCTCGACGCCGGTTGTCGAAAGCCACGTGCTGTAACGTAGTAGGTCGTGATTGCATTTGGCCTGAATCAAATCGCAGAATTCAAAACTCCAGTTTTCTCTCGATACATCCACAGGAAAGGAAGACATACATCCATCTCGAGTGAAATTGAAGCCGTATCAATCAAGCCCCAGCAGCAGTAGTTCGTGCAACGGATGCGTGCTACTCGATATCTTCGACGCGCCTTCGTGGAGCGATTGACAACATTCTACTTGTGGCACCGAAAGTTAGTAAAACAGCCTTCAAGGACATTAACTGGATATGTCGTCCATTCAAACGTATATCGGTGCAAGCAGCGACAGCAGCATCCCATATCAAACATTGATTGAAATCATCCACGGTCATGTATGATCGGCATTAGGTGGGACTAGGATACTGAGAAATGCAACATCGCACGCATGAAGAAAGTGGGAGAGCGTCCGGAGGCTTAGGCATAGCGCGTGTCGTCGGCAAGGCGGGTGTAGCCGTCTTCCATGGAGACGTAGCCATCCGTCTTCTTGGTAAGCAGCACTGAGGCGACGACGGCGACGGCAGCGATGCACGCGACGACCAGCAGCCCGTTGTTGGCAGCCGAACTGTACATGGCGTTGAGCTGGGTGGAACCAACGGAAACGGCTTTGGCCGAGCACTGCGACACGGTGTCGCTGAGGTACGTGGCGACGCTGACGCTCTCGCTGTCAAGGTAGACGAGCACATCGTCGTCGACGGGACACATTGAGC